ATTTTGTATTAAAATACATTGGTCATCAACACCCGTGTTCTCGTTTACTACTATATTATTATAACGCTGTCTTATTACACAACATTATCAATGAATTTTAATTCGAAAAGACATACGAGGCAAGAATAAACAACATATTAAACGTAATAGTTAGAATTGTTCAGTAATGGCATGTTGAAGATGAAGTCATATAATGAAGTAGGCTATAAAAATAGTATTTTTATTAACTTACTCTTTATCACTAATCGTAATTATTATGTCGACTATGTTGTTTTTTCTTGTTTCTTATGTCGTTTGGAATTGGACTTAATTGAGCATAATGTGTAGTAAAATATTGTTATAATAATACTATTGTAATTTTTGGACGTTTGGAGATGATAAGAAACCTTGAAGAATATCATGAATTCATGTTATTGCGCAAATGTTGTTCTCATGGCTATATTGTAATTTTAATAATTAAACTCATCAGTCGATAAAAGCCAGACAATCAAAGAAAAGGTTGAATTACTGGATATTCGTTTCGTCCTAGTATGAGTCTCCCCAGCAGTGTGTATACATGATCCTGCATACAAGACTCGAACCCAGGATTTTTGGCCTCAAGTGTGAACAACTAACCTCTAAACCACTGAGCCGGGATACATCGGTTTTAACGTCCAACTTCAATCGATCCGTGATCTTGCTCAATCATTCATACATTGTTTGTAATAGATAATTTTTCCACCTGACGCAGATTGAACTCTATCGGCCATGGCTCAATGGTCTAGAAGTTAAACGTTCATGCATGAAATTGAAGTTCTTGGGTACGAGTCTCTCATGCAAGATTGTGTATACACACTGCTGAGGCGTTCCATACTAGTATGAAACGACCGTTCAATACTTCTAGGTTTTCAATGATGATTAACTTATACCAACTCATGAATTCAACTATTGAAATTATTACAATCTTCACAAATCCTTATTCTAATTATTTAACTTTATCAACCGATCAGGATGCATGATAATAAAAATTCATTTAACATATAGTTTCATTATAAAACGTTCATATTTTTTTTTCTCTAATCCGTTTTCATGTTTTGTTGTAAACAAATATTAAAATAATACACGAATATACCTAAAGTAATTTTTATTTTAAAAAAAAGAAATACTACTTATATTCCATCTTTATTCAGATGATAAACTTGAATAAAATGTTTATGTTAATTTTCATAAAAGTTACCCTAATTTAAAGTTGAAATTTTAATTGGATTAGATTTCTCACGGAAAAAAAATTTTAAAAAATATAAAAAAAATTAAAAAACAAAAAAAATAAAAAATAAAAAAATAAAATGAAATAATCACAACAAATTCGTGATATATAATTCATTTTGTAAAAAAAAATAATAACAAAATCTAATTTTTTTTTCTTCGTTTAAATTAAGTTATATATAAAATCGAACTCTCATGAAAACAAAAAAATAATCTATGATTAATTCAAGTTTAAAAAAAAATATGGCATCATCATGATAAGGAGATACAAAAAATATATATACTAAGATGAATTCATGGAATGATTGAAGATTTCATAGTGATTTCACTTTCTAACCATTTTCATATTGTCAGAAGGGGATTAAGTGTTCTGGCGCCAGACTGGTAGGTCCTGGGATCGTATCTCGTGAGGTGGGATCGTGGATGCGCACTAATGAGGAGTCCCACAATAGAACCAAACGGCCGTCCAATGCTTCCATCTTTTCCTTGTTAATCTAGCTTCAATTGACTCATGCTTTCAACTATGCAAATATCTTTAACAAAAATAATAAAAGGAACACAATAATCGTCTATAGATTAATCCTATTGTATTTTGTTGAGGGATTAGCATGCCTTAAGGGTAATCGCCATTTAAAACAATCATAAGATAGAAAATGACTTGTCACCGAACAGTAGTTAAAGAACGTTTTGTCCTAGTTTTAAATCATTTACTATGATGTTGCTGTGACTATCCAAAGGATCAAGTCAAAAATACTGAGATCACTGGATAAGTGCGATGTCTTTCACTCGATGTATTGGAACCTTATGCTGTAATTCCCAATTCATGATGTTATTATTAACAGTCAGTATCATTTAGTTTTACCGTTAATAAATATATGGAAAATTCATGAATTGTCATGAAAAAGAAAAAATAAAAATGGCTTAAGATAACCTGAAACAGTAAAAAACGGAATACGTCATATTAAACGTTTCTCTTTTCAGTTATCCGTTACTATCTCCTCTTTCATTATTTACTAATAAGTACTTCATACAACTTGAACCTCTTACATTCTCGGTTCACAATTCCTGCATGTTTCACCCAGTCATCTGATTCTTTCGTTATCTTCAAGCACTGGTAACGGATATTAAATAGAGATGACTGTTCTTCAAAGGTTTGAGACAGGGTTTTAGTTGTCTCATAAAAACTGAAGTCTCGTGGGTTAGCATAGCGTTCATGTTCCGTCGTCTCAAGTTTTCTTAGAAGTATTCTGACTTTTGAGGCGTCATGCAGTTTGCAGGGATCGATAGGAACAAATCTTCATACTTCTTAAACCAAGAGTCAAAAATAACACCTGCTACACCATCAAAATTAAAAACTCATGGATTACATTAATGACTGAATCAGTATGGGATACTTGTAATTCACCAGAAGCAGAGATTTGTTGGGAAATGTTTAATTTCTGCATAATGGCTTCCATGATTTTGATTTGAGACTGTTCAAACCGCCTTTCTTGACGTTCCATATAAGTTCCTAGTTGCTCCAAAGAAATACTCAGTGTAGTTTTTCCCGTTGCCACTGATAAGTCTTTTGTGAGAAATTTTCAGGATCATCCCAACAATCAGTAGATAATTGAAATATCTTTCACCGAGGTATTTGAAACTAATGTTGTAGTTCTCAATTCCTGAAATTTTATAATTACCAGTCAGTATCAATTAATCTTACCGTTAATAAATATATGGAAATTTATGAATTCTCATGAAAAAGAACAAATGAAAATGGCTTAAGATAACCTAAACCAGTAAAAAAAATAACGAAATACGTCATATTAAACGTTTATCTTTTCAGCTATCCGTTACTATCTACTCTTTCATTATTTACTAAAAAGTACTTCATACAATATATAAAAAACATTAGGAATAGCATGTGTGTGAATCCATTTTTTTTTAAAAAGAAATGATAATCGAAGGGAATCGTTACAGTTTAACAGACTAACAATAGACTTATGTCTAGTTTCTAAGAAAATTTGTCGGTATCTTTTAATGAGAAAAAGACGTAATCATTTTTTTTTTAAAAAGTGGACTGATTCATGTTGTTGGTGATGGGAACCAATTCTGAAAATGTTATTTATTTATTCAAATTGGAATTAAAATATAACATCAACATTGAATTTAATTTTTTTCTTTTTTTTCTGAAGTGATCCTAGTTACCTTCCCGTTTTCTTATTTAAAAGTTATTAATACACATTTTATTGAGTTTTTTTTGGGGGGGGGGAAGAAAAAAATGAGCTCACTATAAAACTTATTTGTAAGTCTTTTAAAAAAAAGATAATTTTCATGCATTCAGTTACATCGAAATGATTAATATTACGTAATGAAATATTTTGTATATAACAGTAGTTGAGTTTTATTTTAAACTGTATCCTATAGATTATTATTTGATCTGAACTGTTTCAGTAGTAGTCATAATGGTAGTATTTAAAAAAATTGGTATTCCTGCTATTAGATTTTATATCATAAATGAATTACCACTTAATAGCTATTGTTCACAATGTTCAAATCCATTGATATCTTCAGTTTCGTGATTTATAAAAGTCATATTAGTTATAGACTTACAGAATATAAACTTTAATCTAACCTTTACCATTATAAAAGTTTGTGATGATATATATATGTATATATATCCCTACATTGATCACACGTAAATGTTGCAGTTTAGTTAAGAATAGATTTTGCATAACTGCTGATCAGTGTTTCATTAATAGTATAGTTTTGAGTTAGCCATATTATTATTATTATTATTACACAATAGTATCATCATTACATAGTAATATTTCATCTCTGACTAACAGAATGTATACACATAATTTAAAGACATTGTGTGTTAAGTAATAATAACCACAATATTCAAATCCATTAATATCTTCAGTTTCGTGATTTATAGAAGTCATATTAGTTATGAACCCACAGAATCTATAAAATAGATAAAAGTAAAAAAAAAAGGAATTTAATGAAAAACGAAACATAACCAATGAAGCTGAAAAAGGTCATGATTAGTTCAAGATCTAAATATCTTTCATTCAATCTCATATAGGATATCATAAGGGGCTTTTGTGAAGATTTCAGTAATTGTATTGTTTAAATCATGAGTCAATTGAAGCTAGACCACTATGAAAAACCTGGAAGCCCTAGTATGGGTATCCTCACCAGTGAGCATCCACGATCCCGTCATGTGAGCGAGTTTCAAACCCAGCTTATATCAGTCTCGCGCATGTGCGCTTAACCACTAGATCACTGAGCCAGCATCCAACAGTGTTAATGTCTAACTTCAACCGATCCACGAAGTTGAGCAACCATTCATTAATGTCTTCAGTGAGTCGATATCTCACAACATACCTGGTTATTTATTCAAAAACTTGTTTGAAGTAATTATTTGGTTAATGTTAATCGACTTTTAATTATTCAGTATTATACACAAATGAAATCTTGTGTACTTACAAAAAATAGATTTTTTTTAAAATTCTAATTTCATTTTATTTATTATTTATTTGTTTACATTTCTTATTAATTTTGTTTTTTTTAATCATCCCATAAAATACAATTAATCAATAATGAATACATGGATATTACAAATACCATTCCAATTTGTGATCAATTGTTATCTATGGCAACAAATGTTCGATTTATTATATTAAATCATATTGGATATTTATTGAATAAATTGGTTATTCTAATTAATTGTTTATATGAAATATAAATTAATCTACAATCATGGATAGATTCCTTTGTAAGTTCAACTTGATTTAACTATTTTTTTTATACTTTTTTATTATTTTTATTATTTATTATTATTTTTTTCTTTTTTTAAATTATTTTTTAAATTTTTTTATTATTTTTTTAAAATTTTTTTATTATTTGTGACATTATTCACAAGTATTTACTAAAATAAAATTGTTTTTATTTATTATAAATAAACAAATGCTAATTATTTAAATAATAAAATAGTTTGGTTTTTTGGGTAAAAAATTTGTTTGTTTGGTTGGTTATTTATTTAGGTTGTTGTTCTCTTTTTTTTAATTATATATCGTGTTATTAGAAAATAACAAATAAAAAAAACAGTAAACAAAGGAAACTTTGGTTTATATATATAAATTGAACTTAAGACTGAAATCAAATTTAAAGATCCCTATAGAATTGTTATATCCCGAAGAGAATTATAAAAGGTAACTTTTGAGTACTATTAATGGACCAATACGATAGGTATATTTCCTATTGTATAATTGTTAAGTAACTAAACTATCCATGTTCATGTTCCTCTCATTATAAGCTTTGTTTTGATTTATGAACTATTATTATACGATTTACCGTTCTTGAGTTATCAACATTTTGTTAATTACTGCCTCCCACATTCATAACCACTTTGGGCTGAGTCTTGTACAATGTTCTTTTCTATTTTATGGTACGATGTGGTCTGTTTGTTTGGTATATAAACCCAGTATGTTTGAGAATAATGATTCATATTGGAGTGACTGTTATTGGTGTTCTGGAATTAACTGGCTGGGCTCGGCAGATAGCAGGATCGAAAAGTACTCTGGACTGCTTGTACGGCTTTCGTGTCTCATTGGTCCGTTCGATAGAATTACTGTATTCTAATTGGCGGTATCGTCACATCATATATAAACAAGACATTCAGACATACAAGTTATAACAGGAATATTCAAAAATGAACAGTATTTCGACGAACATCATATCAAAATAGACAAAGCTTTCTTTGTTTTATATCAAGTTTCAAAAATCTACTCAAGAAGCTAGATTACGGTTACTCTACACAGCCGAAGACATTTGGATCAACTCCAGGAAACCGAACTGATGTATCCAGAAAAAGTATATTTAGCCTCTACGTTTACCTTTGCCTACCACTGGGTCACCGGATACCTAAACTGAATATTATAAGCCTCTTGCTCCCTTTTTTTGTTTTTGACTACCTCTATCTTACTCTTCACATCCATCATTCCCAATTCGTTTATCGTAATTACCTTGAAAACACCCCTCTTATCACGTATTATATTCACACAACAGTATTATTATTACTACTTATGATTGTTATCTCAATTGACAAGTTGAAATTCTCAGAAAGAGTGCTTATGGAGATTTTTAGTAATTTTATAGTTGAAATCATGAGTCAATTGAAGCTAGACCACCTCGGAAAATCTGGAAGCACCGGACGGCCGTTTCGTCCTATTGTGGGACTACTCAGACCCCAAAATTTAAGCAAGGTGATCAATGTATAAGATCTATAGAAAATTTAAATGACATTTTAATCAAAACAGGAATTTCATTGATATTTTCAATACAAATCCATGTTTAAGAGTGACATTTCGATAAATCAATTTTTTTTCGAAGAAAAAGAAATTTACTAGAATAACACTATCACTATTCATAAATTATTGTCTGGTTAACATAATTGACTGAATATATATATATATATATATATATATATATATATATAATGCTGACATTTAAAAACAATAAAAAGTAGAAAGTTCCCAAAGATATACAATTCTGATAGCTAGTTCGACTCTTTTAGATTAGTGAGTCATTAATGAATATATGGTATTTCGTAATTCAGTTCAATACTACTTTCATATGATTACCATTCAACGTTCTCAATGGGAAACAGTCTTATTCCAGACAGTCAATAGGGATACTATTAATAACACCTTTATCTATTTACAATACATAAAAGGTTATTTATGCATGACCTTTTATTCATCTTCTGGCTTGTGATAACAGAGATTATTCGAAAATATCGCTATTAAATGTTTTAGACACTTTTTTATGGAATACATTGTTTGAGAATATAAGATAAACGTAACTGATCATATAATGAGACCAGTACCGATCCACGAACACACTACTGGGAGAAACATCAGCTCACTCAATATGTTTGATGCAATGCGATAATAAATGCTAAACAACAAAAAAAAATATATGCTTAGTGGTTTCCAATGGATTACCTTCACATCTCTAACATCAAATAACTAAAAAACTAGAGGCGTCAAAGTCACATATTTGATAGCTAAAACACTTCAACTAACATTTGATGGGTAATGGACACTAGTGTTAGACAGGGAAATCAACTAGTGTTACCTTATACCATACACACTTATGAACTATTTCATAAATTTTAACAAAACTGTTTTTAGTTTTCATATGATTGCAGAAGTTTCTTATTTTTATTGCCAAAGGATTATTTTACTACTGTCTATAACATATAAATGATGAAAATGGATTAATTGCCGTTTTTTTCTTTTAACAGTTAATCTAAACTACTAGTTTTTCATCGAAGAAACGTACTGAAAGCACTCCTTATACATCATCTATTATTCATACATATCGATCGTACGACTTACAGTTCAAAAAGCCTTGTGTAAATATGGGAGTCTATAAATATATTGATATTAAAAGACTAATGTTTGAACGAAGAATATTCTTTTCGATAAATTCTCTTCAGGTTCTACAATTATATATCCAAATTAATAATCCGAAAAATTGGCCAGGTTAAAGGCAAAGTACATAGTTTAATGCATGTAAATTTAGGATTGTCAAATCAAATAGTTAATGTTGATATGATTCATATAGAATGTTAACTTGAATCGGTATATACGTAAAATGAAAATTTAAGATCTGTGATCAGAATATAAATATGGGTCAGATAGGGTGAGAGAGATATGATAGTGCAATTACAATTCGATCAAGTGGAAGACTAAATGTGTGAAAAATTAGTAAGACGTAATAAGGAGGGATCAATGCGATGTGAATGAATCATGTCTAGGGGGGATTAATAATGATATTTAACCAATAATAATAATAATAATAAAATACAAAGATTTGTGATTAAAGATAAGAGACAATTACATTTGACTACGAAAGGTCGTAAGTACATAGTCAAATTAGGTCATACATAGCTAAGATGATTGTTCATTAATTGGCCTTGTGGTTGGCCAAGGGAGAAGTAGGGGTTGGAGATATTTCTTCTGTACACATAGCTCAGGTTTCTTCATTCTGATGGCTACTGCCTCCGCCGTTTGAAGGACTTTAAGCCTGACAAGCTTAGGCAAAAAATTACTGACCCTATAAATAATTGAAAAAGATTGGTTTATACTGGCACTATGACCAGTTTGTACTAAATGGGCCAAAATCGAGCTGTTTACTTTCTTCATCAGACCTTTGCTTAGCCACGCTGGGAGGTGTTCACGAGCACGAAAATGTAAATTCCTAGAACTTCGACCAATATAACTTGCTCCACAGGAGCAGTCGAACTGATAAATACAAATTGAAGTGGTCATTCTAGGAACTTCATCTTTAAGCCTCGGTGTCACCATTGGACGCGTAGAAAACACCAAACGTAGTTCACCTGCGTTGAAAGATTTTTGGATAGATCTGCGTAATCTCTGAGCAAGTATTTCGCCAGCGGCATCCCCCCTGAATTGTAGGCGCATGAACAAGGACTTTTTCTTGACCGTTTGGAATTCGCCTATTTTCACTTTAAAGATCATATATTTAATTTTAAATTTTCTGGGATATCCGTTCTCCCTTAGAGCATTATGCAATGTGTTTAGCTCATTGTCAACTACATCCGCCGAACATATAGTGCGTATATAGTGCGTACTGCAGATATATGGATGACACATTCATCCTGTGTAAAGATAATATTTCACAAGATGTGCTTAGGCAGTTTAACGAAGTGCATCCAGCCATCCAGTTTACATCGGAGGAAGAGAGTGATGGCCGATTAGCCTTTTTAGACGTCCTCTTAACTAAGAGATCTGATGGATCGTTAAGAAGAAACATGAACAGAAAAAGTACTTGGACTGGGCAGTATACACACTTCCTAAGCTTTGTACCTCTACAGTACAAACGAAACCTAATCAAGACCCTTAGCTATCGAATACGCACTATATGTTCGGCGGATGTAGTTGACAATGAGCTAAACACATTGCATAATGCTCTAAGGGAGAACGGATATCCCAGAAAATTTAAAATTAAATATATGATCTTTAAAGTGAAAATAGGCGAATTCCAAACGGTCAAGAAAAAGTCCTTGTTCATGCGCCTACAATTCAGGGGGGATGCCGCTGGCGAAATACTTGCTCAGAGATTACGCAGATCTATCCAAAAATCTTTCAACGCAGGTGAACTACGTTTGGTGTTTTCTACGCGTCCAATGGTGACACCGAGGCTTAAAGATGAAGTTCCTAGAATGACCACTTCAATTTGTATTTATCAGTTCGACTGCTCCTGTGGAGCAAGTTATATTGGTCGAAGTTCTAGGAATTTACATTTTCGTGCTCGTGAACACCTCCCAGCGTGGCTAAGCAAAGGTCTGATGAAGAAAGTAAACAGCTCGATTTTGGCCCATTTAGTACAAACTGGTCATAGTGCCAGTATAAACCAATCTTTTTCAATTATTTATAGGGTCAGTAATTTTTTGCCTAAGCTTGTCAGGCTTAAAGTCCTTCAAACGGCGGAGGCAGTAGCCATCAGAATGAAGAAACCTGAGCTATGTGTACAGAAGAAATATCTCCAACCCCTACTTCTCCCTTGGCCAACCACAAGGCCAATTAATGAACAATCATCTTAGCTATGTATGACCTAATTTGACTATGTACTTACGACCTTTCGTAGTCAAATGTAATTGTCTCTTATCTTTAATCACAAATCTTTGTATTTTATTATTATTATTATTATTGGTTAAATATCATTATTAATCCCCCCTAGACATGA